GAAAGAAAGAAAGAAAGAAAGAAAGAAAGAAAGAAAGAAAGAAAGAATGGGTTTAGCTTGATATAAAAAAAATCTTTGTGACAATTAGAGTTATCTTAAAAGTGGAATAGGCTGCCTAATGTGGTCGTGGATTCCCCATCACTGCAGTAGAAACTATAAAACCACTTCTTGGGGGATGTTATAGAGTAGATTCCTATTAAAGGCATCAAGATGGTACATCATATATAGTATAGGAAGTGGAGTCAGGAAAACCTGAGTTCAAATCCTACCACAAACATTCCCTAGCTGTGTTATCCTGGTCAAGTCACTTAACCTCTCTGATCTTTAGTTTCCTTATCATTAAAATAAGGATCATAAAAGTACCTACTTCCTAGGGTTATTGTGAGGATCAAATGAGTTAATATCTGTAAAGCACTTTGCAAGCCTTAGAATGAAATAAAAATGTTAGCTATCATTATGTAAACAAAGGTTGTACTAGATGATCTCTGACTCTCAGATTCAATCATCAGTAATGGAGAGATCACTACCACGTGAAGCAGTGTTCCATTCCTGTACAGCACTAATTGTTAGAAAATATTCTTACTTATGCTAGACATAATTTGACTCTTTGTAACTTTAACCCATTGGTCCTACTTCCCTTCTCTGAAGTAACACAAACATTCCCTCTTTCACCAGTCTTTCAAGTGTTTGAAGACAATGGTTGTGTTTCCCCCTAAGTGTAATCTTCTCTAGACTAAAAGGTCCCTAGTTCCTTCCATCCATCCTCCTATGGTGTGGTTTCCAGACCTCGTGGTATCCTGGATACACTCCCCCAGATTGTCTTCAGCTTGATTAAAGTGGTCACTCATTGCTCATTCTTGATACCCCACTCTAAGATAATGAGAAGAACTGGCTGAAACAAAGTGGAATGTGCCAAGTCAGACTTCTTGGGAACACAATAAAGTTTATGTTATTGGAATTTAAAAGATAACAGTCAAGAGCTTACTATCTAGCAAGCATGTGAAATAAAGACAACCCCATAGAGAGGCACTTTTGGTGAGGGCTGGGTGTTGTACCAAAAGAAGTTCTACATCAAATGGTGCCCCAGAGGTCATCCTCCTGCCCTCTGAGATCCCACAGAACAGATCTAGTCCCTCTACCCAATACTTGAAGACAATTACTGTGTCCCTCTCCTACTCCAAAATCTCTTCTCCAGCTTACAACTCCCCATGTTCCTGATTGCCTAAAAATTGGAATTGGCCGGAAGTGAAAATGGGTTGTCAAAAGGGTAGTGGGTGTCCCCATCACTGAAGATTTTTAAGTGGATGTCCACTTGTTGAGAGTGTTGTATAGAGGATTTTTGTCCAAGTTTGAATTGGGTTTCATGACCCATGCATTAGGACAGTTCATTTGAAAGCTCTCTGAAGGATAGGTTAGAACAGTGAGAGACCAGAAGCAGGAAGACCTTTATGAAGCCATTACAAGAGCACAGGTGAAAGTGTATGACAGCTTGCATTATGGTGGTGGAATGCAGAAGGGAAAGTATGGATGAATATGAGAAGGATTGTGAATTTATAATCCAAAGAATTTGGCAACTAATTGATTGTGTGGGTGGAGGGAGGAAGTAAAGGGAAAAGTCAAAGATGACTCTTGGATTTTGAGCCTGTGTGCATAAATTATAAGATTAACAAGATTTAGGGTAGAGGAATAAAGTTTTTTATAACAGCGCAAACAAATAACTTATAAATTTAAAGCAAATCTGTGATTTGAGCTAGGAACCATTGCTCTAAATTCCTTCAGAGTCCAGCTGTAGTCTCATCTCTTCCACAGAACTTTCCCCAATACCCCAACCCACAACTCCCTCTCTGTCCTCTGATCTCCTGCACAAGTCACCTGGAACTTAACATATTCCACTACAAACTGTTGTTTGGAGTGGCCTTATGAGTTTTACATGACTCTTGCTAGCTGTGTGATCCTTGACACATCACTTAACCTCTATCTGCCTCAAGTGACTCCTTTGGACTTAGTGGTGAAGAGAGTTCCCCATGCTAATATAGCACAGATGCTATATTGTTACATATCTTTTTGCATATATGTCCTATGTCCCAAATTAGATGACATGTTCCTTGAGCACAGAGACCATTTTTCGCAATATCTTGTATATGTTTGATCAGGGAGATGATGGTGTCTATATAACATGATTAAGTAACAATTCCTCTCTAGGTGCCTTCCAAACCTATGATTCTATGAACAAATTATGAATGGTAGAGTTAGTTGAGTATCAGCCCCAATAGAGAGGACAATGGGACCACAACAATTCTTTGAATAAAGTACTGGGTTACTTGGAACTGGATGCACTAATATGCAATTATAGCAGCAAACATAGAGCTGTGCACATAAAAGCATTTGATCGATATTTGTTGAATGAATGAACAAATGCACATATTGACCCACGTGTAACTGCAGTTGCAATTTTAGGAATACTCATTTTTTAAACAATTTAGTGGCAATATTTCCAGACTTCTCAAGCAGCTAATTCTGCATCACTAAAGAAAGTTGTATCCTGAAGCCTTGAAACAAGCCTCTCTAGGAAAGAAATTTTGCCACAACAACCAGAAGGAAAAAATCCCCAAAATAATTTCTCATGACCAGTACAAGTGATAGAATCAAATCAAGCATGCCATAGGGTTCAATAAAGTAGATTCTAATGAAAACACCACTAGATTGGCAATCAGGAGACTTAGATTCTTGTCCTAGCAAACTCTCTGTGTGACTTTGGACATATCATTTCTCAATTTCCTCACCTGTATAATAAAGGGTTTGGGCCCAATAATCTCTAAGATCCCTCCTAGCTCTTATATTCTGTGTTCTGTATTCTAAAGCTCTTTCTAGCTAGGTGGTCTAGAGCATTACTCTTGGAGTCAGGGAAACATGGATCTGAATCCTGCCTCAGACAGCTACTAGCTTTGTGGCCCTGGACAAGTCACTTAACCCCTTCCAGTCTTGGTTTCTTCATCGGTAAAATGTGGAAAACAATAGCACCTACCCACAGAGTTGTTCAGGGATCAAAAGAAATAGCATCTGTAACAAACCTTAAAGTGCTATATAAATGTTAGTTACTAAGATTCTCTGAAAGTAAATACATAAAACAGAAGAGAAAACAGGATTGTCCTTAACACTAATGATGACAGGTGTAGCACTTTAAGAGGCTGAAAATAAAATTGTTTTTAAAAGGCAAAAAATGGATTATCTGTTTTCCAGAAGATTGACTCAAAGTTGGGATTTATGTGGAAGCACACCTTCACATTTCACTTCCTTCTATTAATTACACTGCCATTCATCATCCATCATGGTAATAACTTGCTCTCAACTGGAATGGTTCTGAGATGAAATATATTTTCTTCACTGTGTGGAGCATTGCAAAATGAAGTGATTGAGCAATTTTTAACACCACAATCAAAAGATTTTCAAGTACTAGATGTGCTCATTCAAATTTTATCTTTGGCACCTGTATCTTATTTTAAATGGACTTTATATTTCCAAGCACTTAGACAGAGTTTGAGGTAGTAAATAGTTTTTCAGCCAGGAAGTCTTGGGTTCAAATCCCACCTCTGCCCCATGCTTACTGTGTGGCTCACTTAACCTCTCAGTGCTCTAGGCAACTCTTGAAGGACTGAAGGATTGAAGGTGGCAGGCTACACAGGAAGAGGAGAATGTCTTCACCCAGGAGTTCTTTATACCAATGAAATCATACTCCATTCCCTCTGCCCTTGAATTCCCTTAGTCTCCAAATGAAAAGTTCCATTAAGACAGTAGGGCTTTATTAAAACCATATAAGCATACCCATTTTCAAGCTTTTTAGAAAAAACAGTAAATAAGCCACAATATTCTTATATTTGACAAGATTAAAAAGGAAGTTAACTATTTTAATCATATTTAATTTTAATGCAATATTTTAGCATAATTTTGTAAACCAATAGCATATGTCTAGAACACCAAGGAAACAGTTTATCTTAACCATTATGACTATTTTTCAAGGAAAAAATTCATGGAAGAGAAATGAAAATGTATGGCAAGTGGGCAATAGCCCTAACAATGGTTTGCAGTACTGACTCAGAACTATAACACAGACATATATCACAGCATAAAGATTGCAACCCACCCGAGACCCCAGCTCAAAATGCAAATAGCATGAAGAAGCAAATTTAAAGCAATCATCCATCCCTGTGTACAACTTTAAGGCAGAATTGTCTGCTAACATAAAAGCAACATATTTTTTGACAAGGAAAATGTCTTTTTTAAAAACTCTCTACAAAAACCAGTTCCTATAATCCTAGCTAAGGAAGGACCCCACATTGAAAAATCACATCGATAAATGAAAAATAACCCCATTATCAATATAACCTACATTTATTAGTCCTTCAGAGCAAATCAAGAAGGATTCCTTAGCCAAAAAAGAAACCCAGCATGATAGGGATTGCACAAACACATTAGAACAGACAGTGATATAGAGATAAATTCCCCCACCCTACCCTTGGGTCTCTGCTGTTTTAAAAACCAATCCAAACACAAGTCACAGGACAAACAGTTTGTAAAAACTACGTTTTAATGTCCATGAACATTTCACCCTCCCTGGTGATGAAGAAGAAACAAGACTGTGGTACTGAAGTTCCTCCTTTCACTTCCATAGTTTTGCTAAGCACTTCAGACACTAGACAGAAATACAGAAAAGGCATGTGTTTACCTGACCAGCAAGTGTAGGAGTGTGTATGTGTTTGGGTGTTTGGGTTTATGTGTGTATTTAAACATTTACAAATGTACCGTTCCAAGAAACCAATTCCTTAAGCAGTTTAATGTAAACCATTTGGAGTGAAGGGAGTTATTTTGCCCAGTGAAATCTCTCCCTCACAGTCCAGCTCGCACACTGAATCAGTTGCAAGATCATGATTCGGGGAAGTTTGGGAAATCTGAGACATCCTGTCAAAAGGACCATCATCATTTCCACTTACAGAGTCAACCACATTAGGGATCATGTTGACGTAGGCAGTGGCAATCTCTTTGTGGAATACTGTGTCCTGGTTGTAAGAGATGAGCTCATTGCTAATGTTCACTGTCTCCACCGGGGTTCCAGCACAGAAGTGGCTGCACCCCAGAAGGTTGGCAAATACCTTTCGAAAGTCAGCATTGAAGGCATAGATGATAGGGTTGAGGGATGAGTTGGCCCACCCAAACCAGACAAATATGTCAAAAGTTGTCTCACTCACACAAGGGAAGCCAGCTTGGGGGTCTCCAGGGTTGTCACAGAAAGGAACCATGCAGTTCAGAATGAAGAAGGGGAGCCAGCAGCAGACAAAGACCCCCATGATCACAGATAGCGTCTTTAGGACTTTGGTCTCCTTCCTGATGGAGGTCTTGAGGCTGTTATGATGCGGGCAGTCCATTCGGTTGCTCCGGCAGCTCTGAGCATGCTCCGCAGCCCTCTCCAAGGAGGAAATCCTCCGAATCTGCACCTGGGCTATGCGATAAATCCTCGTATAGGTCACGATCATAATGGCCACCGGTATATAGAAACTGATCAGGGAGGAGGAGATGGCATAAGTCCTGTTGAGACTTGAGTCACAGTTCTCAACTCCCTCAGTCACGAGTTCCTCTGTCTCCTCTCCCCAGGGGGTCCCATTGGTGAAAGTAGATGGAGGAGACTGGTTTCTAGCAAAACCCTCTTGATCTTTATGCCAATTGAGCTGCACAGGGATGAAAGAGATGAGGATGGACAAGGCCCAGGTTGCACTGATCATGATCGAGGCCACCCTCTGGGTCATCTTGCGCTCATAACGGAAGGGGCTGGAGATGGCCCAGTAGCGGTCCACGCTGATGACGCACAGGTTCAGGATGGAGGCCGTAGAGCACATGATGTCAAAGGCCACCCAAATATTGCAGAAGGCCCCAAAGGGCCAGTAGCCGGCCACCTCTGCTACGGCTTTCCAGGGCATGACTAGGAGGGCTACAAAGAGGTCAGAGATGGCCAAAGACACAATGAAGATGTTGGTCATCTTGGAGCGCAGATGTCTGTATCGGATGATGGCCACACACACCAACACATTCCCCAGCAAGGTCCAGAGAATGAGGAGCGACAGGAGGCTGGCAGTGACTATCTGCGCCGGCCCCAGAATCTCCCGGCTGTTCCCACCTGCCCCTTCGGGGCCCCAGGCTCCTGCTGGGGGCAGCTGCAGCTGCAAGAGCAGCAGCGGCGGGTACAGGGTCCGGTTCCGTCGGGGTGGTAAAAGCATGGCAGGGCCTCCAGGGGCGCCGGGCACTGGGCGGCAGACACTTCACCCGAATGCCCCTGGCGAAGCCCCATTGGCGCTCCCCCTCCCCCAGGGCTCCTGCGCCCCGCGGGCAGTTGCCCTCCGGCTGCTATGGGGCTTCCGTGCTGAAGCCCAGGGCTGAATCTCCGCGCTGCTCAGCAGCTGCCACAGCCACCGGGGATCCGGAACAGAGCGGGGAAGAAGATTTCGGGGCTCCAAGCGTCGGGCCCCGAGGCTCTGCTCTTTCGTCTCCTCTGCCTCCGCTTGGAGCTCAGACCGTGCCCTCGGTTTAACTCCTAGCGTCCCGCATCCCTTGGGGAGGGTTAAGTGAAATTGCCAACCGAGTGGATTGGCGGGGGAGGGGAATCTCCCTGTCCCCCTTGTCCCCAGTCACTGCCCCGTGCACAGCTGGGGTTAAAAAGCGGCTTTCCACTTGTTTCCTACCTTCCCCAGCCCTGGGGTCTGTTAGCTACAGCGCGCACCTCGAGTCCAGCCGCTGGGCGCCCTTGGCTGTTGGCTCTATCACCTGCCCCAGCGCTGGGGCGTAGGGGCTGCTGACTCTCCCGGTTCTCTGCCCCGCCGGGGCCCCGAGATAGGGAGCTCCTTGTAACTGCCGCTATGGTTCTGTCTGGGATCGGAAGTGAAGAAGGAAGAGAAAGAAGAAACACCTCTAGCCCGCCTTGCCTGGGAATAACGCTCTCCTGCCTGCCCGCCTGCCTGCCTGCCTCCTTCCCTCCCTCCTTCCCTCCCACCTTACTCTATTCCGTCCCTCCCTCCCCCTTGAGCCTCCACTCTCCTTTTCTCTCCTTCTCTCCCTCTCCCTTCTCCCCCCTCCCCACAGCCCCAGTATTACCTATTTCTATCTGGTCTCCCGCCTTCTACCCTCTGATTGTCCTCACATCAGCTACGAATCTGAAGTCAGCAGTTTATAACTAAAGGTGAGGACTTTTAAGGTCTAGGAGATGTCCAAATGCCAAACCACAGAAGCACATGCCAAGTCGTGCCCGGGAGCAGGCCCGGGGGCAAATTTCCTGCCCCGTTGCCCCCTGACTCCCCTATCTTGGCTTCTTAATTAGAGCCAACTGAGCACTCTCCCACTATTCTGCAGGAGCCAAGTGGAAGTTCCCGAGCTTGAGGTGACAGTAGCTTTTTTTTTTTAAAAAGGCAAGAAATCAGGTGTGATGAAAGGTGTATACTTCGTAGAGGTGCACCGTGAGATAGCGGAAAGCCTTGGTTTTAGGGCTGGGGAGAGCTGGATTGCAACTTGTTAGCCATGAAATCTTGGGGAAGTTTCTTCACTTCTTCACTTCAATTTTCTCACCTGTAAAATGGGGATACAAATAATTGCACTATCTACCTCACAGGCTTCCTGTGAGAATTTTATACGTGTGAACTATTATTATTATCACGGGAGAGAGATCACTGCCCCCAGCAAGTGTCTGATAAGGGAAAGTTTCCCAAGTGGCCCTCCTTCTACTCCGAGGACTAAGCATATTTCTTAAAATGATTTTCACTTAAATGAGTTATGCAAGGTCCAATTCAGCATAAATTCTAGGGCTAGTTTCTTCTGTTAAATTATAATTCTTAGATAGGTTGACATAGGAAAAGGAGGGGAATAGGGGGCAGAGATGGAACAGAATCACTTCCCTGAAGGCTTGAACCTGAAATTAAACAAACGTGTAAGATTGTTTATGTATGTCCTTGTGCTAGGTTACTGGAGTGGGGGTGGGGGTGCAAAGTTGAAAAAACGACCCAACCTCTACCTTCAAGGAGCTTACAAGGGAAGACAAGATAAGTTTAACAAGTGTAATCCAATGAGTACAAAGGAGAGAGCCAAAGTAATATAAGAAAATAGGGGCTGCAGCAGGAGAGAGAAGGGGAGAAGAGAGATAGAGACAGAGACAGAGAGACAGTGACAGAGAGAGAGCCTTTCTCTTATCAGATTCCACGTCACTTTGTTTTCCTCTTGCATAATGATCACGTTCTAGTTTGTATTATATTTATCAGGGCACAAGTCCTTTCTTTCCTACTAGACAGCCGTAACTATGAAGACGACAACAACAACAATAACTAAGATTATAGGCAGCACTTTACAAAGCATTTTACAAATATTATCTCATTTTGTACTCACAACAATCCCAGGAGGGAGACACTATTATTATTCCCATTTTACCGATGAGGAAACTGATGCAGATGGAAGTTAAGTGAGTTGGCCAGAATCACACATCAGCTAATAAATATTTGAGGATTTGAACTCTGGTCTTGTTGATCCCAGGTTCAGCACTACTAACTATCCACAGCCAGTTAACTAAGCACAGGCAATACTTTATCTTTGTCTCTTCCCCCCACCCCCAGAGTACCGGGTAAAAACTTAATCAGTGTTTATCAAAAGAAAGTAAATGAAAGAAGAGTCAACATTCATCTGACTTTGCCTCTGTCCTTGAGCTGACAAATTTGTTTTGTTAAATTACTCACCATCCCCTTCTCAATTCTTACCCATCCCTACTTAGAATTAGTCCCAAGTAAATTATAACTAGGTGTTTTGGTTTGTTGTTTTGTTTTGTTTTTTGGTGTGTGTTTTTATTTGGTTTGGTTTGGTTTATAGGGTCATGGTAGCAATGTATGGATATGTTTGGGGTTTTTATTGTTTTTTTGTGAGGTTGCCACTTATGTTGCCATTTTAAAAAACATTTTATATATTCATAGAACTTGGGATTTGTAAGGAACTGCAGAGGTCATCTAATCTGACCTTTATCTAAAATAAAAGGTCTAAGGCATCCCTGACATGTTCTGATCCAGCTTTCTATGCCTCCAGTGATAGGGGGTTCACTATCTTAAAGCAATCCATTCTTTAATTACTGTTTTTCAGTCCTGTCCCACTCCTTGTAACCCCACTAAGGATTTTTCTTTGAGTGGTTTGTCATTTCCTCCTCCAGCTCATTTTACAGATGAGGAACTGAGGCAAACAGGGTTAAGTAACTTGCCAGGGTCACACAGCTAGTAAGTGTCTGAGGCCAGATTTGAACTCAGGAAGAGGAGTTTTCTTGACTTCAGGCCCAGCACTCTATCCACTGCACCACCTAGCTGCCTAATTTTTGATTGGACAGCTATTATTGTTACAGAATTTTTTTTATTATACTGAAATGATCCTCCCTGTATCTTTGGAGTCAGGCAAAAAAAAAAAAGAGAGAGAGAGAAAAAGTTTAATCCTTCTTCCATATAACAACCCTTCACATATCTGAAGATTGTATCATCTCCTCTCTCCCATCTCAACCTCTCAGTCTTTTTCTTCAGGCTGAACATCCCCAGTTCTTTCAACTTCATAGGCCTGTTCATCCACCTCTAGACCTACTCTAGCTTGTCAAAATCCCTCTCTAGCAATTTGGAACTATGCCCAAAGGTCTATAAAACTATGCATACCTTTTGATCCAGCAATATCACTACTGGGTCTGTATCCCAAAGAGATTGTAAAAAGGGGAAAGGACCTATTGGTACAAAAATATTTACAGCAGCTCTCTGTGTGGTGTCAAAGAATTGGAAATTGAAGGTATGTCTATCAATTGGAGAATGGCTGAACAAATTGTATATGAATGTAGTGGAATACTATTGTGCTCTAAGAAATGATGAGCAGGAGGATTTCAGAAAAATCTGGAAAAACTTACACGAGCTGATTCTGAGTGAAGTGAGCAGAACCAGAAAAACATTGTACACAGCAACAGCAACATTGTGTGATGATTAACTACGATAGACTTAGCTCTTCTCAGGAACACAATGATCCAAGACACTTCCAAGACGCAGGATGGAAAATGGTAACCACATCCAGAGAAAGAACTATGGAGTCTGAGTGCAGATCAAAGCATACTACTTTCACATTTTTTTTTATTTTTTCTTTTTGTTCTAATTCTTTTTCACAACATGACTACTTTTGGAAATATGTTTAACATGATTATACATGTATAACCTATATAAGATTGCTTGCTCTCTTGGGGAGGGGGGAAGGGAAGGAAGGGAGGGAGAAAAATTTGTAAATTTCAAAATTTTACAAAAATGAATGTTGAAAACTATCTTTAAATGCAATTGGGAATAATACTATTAAGGAAAAAATCCATCTCTAAAAGTAGTGTCAAGAACTAAGCACTTTTCTGGATCAAGCCTGAGAGACACAGAATTTAACAGAACTATCAATGCTCTTTTTCTGAACACTATACTTTCTATGGGTAGCAAAGTCTTGAAGTGGATAGAGCCAGGTGGAATCAGGAAGACTCATCTTTGTGAGTTCAGATCCAGCCTCAGACACTTACTAGCTACATGACCCTGGGCAGGTCACTTAACCCTGTTTGCCTCAGTTTCCTTCTCTATAAAATGAGGAGAAGGAAATGGCAAACTACTCCAGTATCTTTGCCAAGAAAACCTTAAATGGGATCATGAAGAGTCAGACATGATTGAAATGACTTAACAACAACAAAATCCTTTCTATTAACACAAGAAGGGTAGACTGTGAACTTGGTTTTGTTTAGTCATCTGTCCATTCAAATTTCAGGATTCTATTAGATTTTGTTGGCAGTTTCCTGCCCAGCCCCTATTTTAAGATGTCCTTTCCCAGTTTCCCAAAATAATTTCTATTTGCAACTAAACATGTTGAAGGAGGGGACTCAAATACTTTACTCATCTTTTCACACAAGAAAAGAGAAAGATACACTCACAGCTCCTGTTCCCTGAGGACATGCTGTCAGAAATTGCCGAGATACTACCTGGTATGGCAAAGCAACCTCGGTCAGGGGCAAATTCACCTTGGCTACTAACTAGCAGTATGACCTTGGGAAAGTCCTTCCTCCCTCCACACCTCAATTTCCTCAACTATAAATAAAGGGTATCAGAGAGTAAAAGTGAGCATCAAATGTAGAATCATGCATCTAGAGCTGGAGGAAACATTAGGTCTTATTTTATAGATATGGAAATAAGAGAGTTACCTTGTTACAAAACTACCCTTCACAGTCAGAGATTACACTAATGTTGATGTTGCCATCAGGGTGCTTGGGTTTGACTTAAGAG